AAAAAAAAAGCAAAAATATGGATGCTGCCAACATGTCATCTTAATTATCAACAAAGTTCTTAAAAAAACAAAAATATTAATAATTTCCAGAATATCACATATTTAAGAAGACATTTTACAACTGAACACACCTGGAAATACTCCTGCAAATCCATCGGCCTTCTCAATCAATTCATCAATAGGGAGGGCAGCAATGGAAGCGTCCTTGTCTTGGCCCAGCAAGGAAGAAGAAGGGTACATGTTTGTTCCCATTCCAAGCCTCCTGCCAGTTTCTTTGCCAATGGCAAGCTGATCCCCTGGGTATAATAGAAAAATAATATAAACTTTACATCATGAAATTATAGCCAATGTACAACATTAAAATAATATTTAAACAACCCTTACCGGTAATCATCTTAACATTCACTCCAAGGTTTAGAGCTCTCCTGATGGTTTCAGCACTATCGTGTCTCGGGGGATCAAACAGTGGCAACAAACCAATAAGCTGCCACGGTGCCCCAGGAGACTCTTTTGTTTTCTCAGGTACTTCCTGCAGAAATAGAAATTAAACAATGTGATTACCCCAATTTACGTACGAAATCAACATGAAGCATGCAAAAGTTTAATTTGCAGACCTGTCTTGCAACGGCTAAAGATCGAAGTCCACGTTCAGCATATTTATCAATAACAGCATGAACCTTTTTCTTGACATCTTCTTTGCAATTGCAAAGAGTTATGATCTATTTCAGGATATCAAAAGCATATAAGTCAGAAGTTATCTCCCTAAACCTTTCAAAAAACTGATATTCCATAATGAGAAAAAGTATTATTACCTGCTCTGGTGCACCTTTGCTAGCACGATGCCAGTTTCCATCAGAATCAATGTAGGTCAGAGCAGTTCTCTTGTCTACAGGGTTGAATGGTAGGAAGTGAATCTCTCTGATACCAGCTCGTGCCTGGCCAATCAGTATCCAAAATGACTTAAGTATACTTGGACCCAATCCTAAATATAAAGAAGAAAGAGCCAGAAGAAAATAATACCTCCTTCGGATCTGCAAGCATTCCTACAATTGCAGCATCAATCGCATCCTGATTTTCAGTTCTTGAAGCCCTTGCTGCATATAGGATAACTTGCTCTTTTTCGACTCCCTTTGCAAACACTTCAATTAGGTTTCTATCAACAGTAAGTTTGTTCAGGGTCAGGGTCCCAGTCTTATCACTGCAGAGAACATCCATGCCTGCCATTTCCTCAATGGCTGTCATTCTTTTCGTGATAGCCCCTTGTTGGGAAAGCCTATGAGAACCAATAGCCATGGTGACAGACAACACAGTTGGCATAGCAATAGGGATTCCTCCAATCAAGAGAACAAGTAAATTGTCAATTCCCTGCCTGTACTTGCGGTGCTGTATTGGGTACATGACAATTATCTCAATGATTATTCCAACAGCAATTGAGCAAATGCAGAAATTTCCGATGGCAGTGAGCACTTTCTGGAAATGCCCAACTTGATTGGTGCTGTCCACTAGGTGGGCAGCTTTACCAAAGAAGGTGTGCACACCAGTTGCAATAACAACTGCTTCTATTTCACCCTGTTTACACGTTGAGCCAGAAAACACTTCATCCGATGGATTCTTTGTAACGGGAAGAGACTCCCCTGTAAGTGCAGATTGATCAATCTTCAAAGGATCACCCTCAAGAAGACGAGCATCAGCAGGAACTATGTCTCCCAATTTAATAGTGATAATGTCCCCTGGCACCAGAATTGCTGCTTCTTGTTCACTCCATCGACCATCTCTAAGAACCTACATTAAGGTACAAGCACCACAAGCTGAGATCACAACTAGAAAGGGACAGAAAGATGACACAACAAATTGTTGAGCTGCTGAGTGTTTCATTTTTCACCTTGGTTTTTGGAGCAAGATTAGCCATGAGGGCAGCTGCAGCGTTACCAGCATTATTTTCTTCAATAAAACTGATGGTGGAGTTGATCAACAACAAGACAATGATACCAACGAAGTCCTGCCAGTCTGGAGGCCTCCCGTCACCATTTGCCAAGGCAATAGCCATTATAGCAGCGGCTTCCATGACCCATGACAAAGGGTTCCACATAAAACCCAAGAACTTGAGAAATTTGCTCTCCTGTTTGCAGAGAATCATACCATATTACGCAACATATACAAGCTGAAAATTTAGAACCTTATATGTAAACGGTTATGATCTGTACCTTTTTCTCTTCTAGTTTGTTTGGTCCAAAAACTTGAAGGCGATTCGCGCCTTCCTCGGTAGTCAAGCCTGCTCTTGTACATTTCAGCTGCTCGAAAACTTCCTCAATAGGAATTCGTTCCTGTAAGCAATTATCACATTCTTAGCCAACTTAAATGGCAGAAAATGGCTTCGTTAAGTATCCTCGTTAATTTCTGTTGTGATTCCATTATCCATGTATGAACTGGTGAATATTCAAGTACACACTTTCAAATTTTAATTTAATAATTTTTAATGGTGTGGTTTGCCGGAAGAGAAATCAAGTGCAGCAGAAAAAAGAACTCCATATGTGACCAGTGAGCACCAATCATCACAGAAATCACTAATGATAATAATATCCTAAGAATCTACTTTTTGTGAAAATTTTATCAACGCAAAGCTAAGATTAGCTAAGCATATATCTTTTCGTAGAGAATCTGAGAAGCCATGCACAGGGTGGCGTCCAGTCTAGCTATGTGGAATCGATGCTTTTCCAAAGTAACCCACCTGATCACATCACATAACATAACAAACCAAAACACAAGCAGAATTTGATTTGCGGAAATAGAACCTCAAAAGGATGGGAATAAGATTTCCCGGTTAATTAGTGGGCAATTTATTTTGTGTCTGATGGTGGGCCTCAAGCTCCTAAAAAAACCGCCATAGCAGTTAATGGTGAAATACCAAGCAGCAGACTTACTTTTCTAGAACCCAAAGATAAAAAAATTTTTAAGTATTTCATAAAACAAACGTTTCGATTGGTTAACCTCAACTCGAGTGAGGAGATTCACATCGATCATGTGAAAACCTAGCACATTTCCAACAATAAGCGCTTAAAGTCTAACTATTGCCAAAGGCCCAAAAGCGAAAAAAGAGAGTCAAAAGATTGCCTGTGTCCCCTTGACATTCACAGCCACATCCAGCTATTGAAAGAATTAATTAATAGTACTAGTGCTAGTCTGAATTGTACGACTCATGCCATCGTGCGTCCTTTCAAACTAGCAAACGCCCTTTTTGGCACTCTCTCTGTTTTTGTTAATTTATTTTTTAGATATTTGATATTCTTATTTTTATGATTTTTTTAATTTTTTATATAAAACAATATTAAACATTTATAAATCAAAATTTTTATCTTAATCTTTGAAAAGATTAAAAAGAAATAAAAAAAAGAAATACTTATTTTTCTAAAGATAAAAAGGTATTATCCAAGTCCAGATAAAAGTGGAGAAGCATATGTCGAGCTTATAATATGGTAAAGCTATTAAATGGAATGTTTTGTCTTTAATATATAGGAAATTATTATACGGCATCAATGGTTAGAGCAGAGCATAAAAAAACGAAAAAAGAAAAAGTCAGTGGGGCGCCATTAGGGCGCGTAGTAGACAAAAGGCGTACGGTATTTAACCAAATAGGTGGGATTGCTATCAAATCTATTTGTCAACCACGCTCGCTTAGCGATTTGCGAATCGCTTAGCCGTATGGACTCACTTGTTTCATGTGATTCGGTCACTCAATGATACCAAAAAAGCGAAAGAAACTTGGAAACGATGAGAGAGAAGAAATGAACGGAGAGCTAAAATTTAAAAAATTAAAAACTTCTAATGAGAGGAATTTGGATTATGGCGTAGAGGTGTAGGAAACTTCGGCTTGGCTTTTCGTAGCAAAATCATCGGTGACACACCAACGCAAGATTTATGGCGAAAATAATGGTTCGTTACACTCATTGGTAGATCGTAGCTCAATTTTTATTTTTTTTTTGCTTTGGGAAAAAGAGAAGGGAAAAAACGAAGGAAATAGAGATACGGAGAGTGTGAAAAGGATTCTATCAAAACACGTGGTGAAGTATCGATGAGGAGGAAAATGATGTATCTTACCAGAAACAGATACATATCAAGGTATTAATCAAAGAAAATAAAATCAAATAAGCTTTTATAAAAGGAAAAGCAAATCGTAACAGAAGTCGTTGATGCCTTGTTTGGAATGCAGGAAATGCGTGGGAAGAAATGAAACGACAATTCCATCATTCGAATCATATATCATGACTTTTATCTTCTAAGGCAAAGAAAGTGATTTTTTTTGCTTTGTTTGGCTAAAATTCACAAAAGTTCCTTTTAAAAAACAGAAAAGGAAGCAAAGCGTCGTTCCAAACACGCATGGTGAACTTTTATCATTTAGCCCGAAAAACGGAAAATCGCCGGTGGTTCGATGAGAAAGTAAACAGAGTACCGTACAAAAAAACATATACATGATTTATATACAATCTGATCAGAAAATAAACGGAAACCGATATATAGATTTGCATGTACATCAAATGAAATTGATGTAGAGGACGAGTGAAAGAGCATACCAGATCGACGGACTCGTTTTTGATCTCGTCGAGGCTGATGCCCTTATCGCCGCCCATCTTCCAAGGTTAGTTGGAGTAGCAGCGCCAGCCAGAGAAGGAACGAGCAGTTAGAGTATTGGAAGCAAATATAAAAAGGAACGGCCAATACTTAAAGACTCATAATTCAAATCAAAGAAAAAGGCTAACACTAATACTAAGAATCGCCACTAAAGAAAGTCGATGAAGAAAAAATGAAGATAGAGCAAGGAAGAGACATCTCTTTTTTCTTTTTTTTCTTTTTTCCTTTTTTGGAGTATTTTCTTTTTCTTTTTCCTTTTTTCGAGGATTTTAATTACTACGTAAATGAATGGAGACTCTGTCTCTGCGTTGGTGCGTTTTTATATACGTGAAATTGAGGAGGGGAGCCATGCATCAGAAGAGGAAACGCACCAGAACGCCATGGGTGGGACCCGCTTAGCCTAGTCCTTCTTGGTCCCTTTGATCCGCCACGCGCTGCTTCTTTCAGTTCACTTCACACACTTGTCTCCCGAATCTCCACGGACTTTTCTCCTGTATTTAATTCTTCATTTTCTTTGTTTAAAGAAAAATAAAATAAAATTCAAGGCTTAATTTTATTGTGTACACGTACACACACGAACGACATCTGCTGCTTTTGGTCAGATGCCGTTGGATCTCTGACATCATGATGTACTGAATGGAAATGATTATGCAAAGAATTGCTTTACCATTTCATCGTGAATTTTCTCAATTTTACACCAAAATATTCATTTCTGACAATTATATTCCTTCAATTATTTTTTATAGTGATAAATGATTATCATGCGTAAGAAACTATTTTCTTTTAAAATCACCATAATCAAAGATAATTTCCTCAATTTATCAAGAAAAAGTTACTCAAAATAAATATCTTTAAATCATGATCAAAATAATCAATTATTTATCTGTAATCATGTATGCATATGTGTACATATATATAGTTAGAAAATAATTTGATATTTGTGAGTTATTGTTTATCTATAATGAAGATATATCAATAGACTTAAGATTTAATGTCAATTTGAATTCATGAGAACAATTTACCAATGTTTTCAAGGATCTGGATTTTAGAGTATTTCTTGATTTTGCTCCTTTATGGAACAAGTTTTAAGAATATCAATAGATACTTAAAAATTTTAAATCAATTATAATTTTTAATATAGAGTAATATAGGTATGATAATAGGTTTGAATCCATTTTACACGATCCATATTCTAATGAATAATAACATATTTCTTATATGTTTGCTCTTTTCATAATAAGATTATCTTTTTTTTCAAACTAAATAAGATTTCATTATTAAAAAGCTTATGAACTTTAGTTGAAGAATTATTTAATAAATCACTAGCGGACACATAAATGAAGTTACGTTTCTATGACATATTCATTTACTTTTACTTTATTTTACAAATGGTCAGCAATGCATCGCCACGTGCACAAGTGCAATTTATTTGCGCTTACTATGAACACGGTGGTAGGTGGTAACAATGCGTAAGAGTTCTTCTCAGTTTGATAACCTTGGGGTTGATTTTCATTGCTTCACGTCTGGGGGTCTAGCTCTCCACATGCCGTCACGTCGGGATAGGATCCAAAACCTTTTTGTGCACGCTCTGGACCGAGCAGGAAACCGGAACGGGAGATTGAAAGTGGGAAAAGGCGGGGGAGTGCAACTGACGCGCCGGTGGAGGCAGGACTATCAGCAAGGGGCAGCTATGGAACGAAATTAAATGGGAAAATCTTCTCTTTTGTCAAGCCTTGGTTATCTCTAGGTTCTCCCATCGTCAAAAAGGTTACGTGTCAAGCTATGGTGGCTGAGGGTGGGAAATTTCCGTTCCTAACATGCTCCAAGTTGAGGTTTTGTCTTGTTTTGTCCCCACGAGCCACCGTCCCTTTCAATCCCAATTTTACAATAAATGAAAATTGCTTAATCGGTTTTCCAAAAAAATAATTGCTTAATTGTTGAAGCCATCGGTCATTAAGTTACTTTATCTATTATGCGTACGAAAATTATGTGTCGCTATCAAATTGGATCATTATTAATTTCTCGTTACAATTAAGAATTTCTAAATACAATAAAAGAATGAAATATTTTCTATATAAGTTAAAAAATAAAAATTTATTTAAATACCTTAATATAAGGACACAGTTGTATAAATTGATGTAATTTAACAACTTTTTTATCATTTAAAACCCAAAAAAAAAGTGCTTAATTGTTATGTCCATTTGGCAACAACAACAATGTTAATATTAAATCAGATGTAAGTTACATGTTGGTCTTCACCGTGCATTAGTGGGGATTTAATTTTTGTCTTTAGTCATCATACAAACAAATGGCTCCGCACTTTAGGCCGGAGACATCTCTATTATTCAATTGTAGATATTTTCTTAGCGCTCTTTATAAAGCATACGAGTTTTTTACTAGGTTAAGTCATAAAAATAATTGAACCAAGGAAAAGAAAAAATATTTAAATATACACTTAATTGGAAAAGGAGTTTCTTTCTTGTCTCGTCTTTATTTTATTTTTGAAAAAACGTTTTTGTGGAAAACCATTAACAAATTTAAATGATTTTATAAATTTTAAATTAATTTTTTTATTAAAATAGATAATAATTGAATATCTATTTAAATAAATATATAAAAAATATATTTATTAATAAAAAATTATTTATATAAAAAAATATGTACACATGTTGTCCAATCGGTTTTATTATTCTGTCTTACAAACTAAGGCAAAAGTCAAGGAAAAAAAATTATTTTGATCACTCCAAATCGTTCACATTTGAATAGTAATCTTTCAATTTGACATGCATTGTAGCTTTCATTTATCTGCCCATTTTGACCATTCCAACAGTCGATTTCGGTTCTGTTAGTGGGGAGACGACTTTTATTCGTGTTCATCCAATTAGCATAAATTAAAAATTATAAAAAAATATTTGATTCAATAATTTTTGTCCGAAAAATAAAAATTTAATATATTTTTTTTCAAAATCAATTTAAAAATCAAGCAAACGACAACTCTCTTAATTTCTTCATCTTGCTTTGTCCTTTCAATCTCACATGTTTGGCCCATCCATTCGCTTTGCTTGAATTTCTTTTCTTTTTTTAATCGTGTGTGTGGTGGAGGTTTGTGAGGAAAGAGATTTCAAAAGTACTTTAAAGGCTAATTGACCCTCAAAATGGCGGGACCCTCTTCCCATGTCCCTAAGCTGAAGCTACGAATGATCCAACCCACCAAAGTCTAATTTCCTACGCCGGCGGGCTTAAGCAACTGACTCTCGTGCCCAATCCTCGGCCTCCTCGTGGGACCATACGCGATGCCACTAAAACTAATGGATCAAAACCACTTGGCGTCGAGTCTCGTCCCCTCGTCAATTTGTTCGGCACTTTTCCCTCGGTACGAATGGGTCCACGAAAACACTTTTTTTTTTTAAAAAGAAAATATTAATTTTGTTAAAGTAATTAAATCATGATTCATCAATATTCAACAGTATATGCGTAAAAAATAAAAAAAAAAATCATTATCTTAACTTTATTTGTTATCATTTTATGAATTCAAACAAACATGAATACTTAACAAAGATAAATAACTTAATTCAGAAAGTAAAATATCAATCTCTCAATTTTGAAGTTTTCAATTATTGTACCATTTTCATTTATAATTTTCCAATTCACACTTATAAATAATTCGTATCATATAATCATTATAAAAAACAAAGGGTTATGGTATAATCATGGATTTTCTATTCTTTAGACTTCCTTGGATCAAAAGCGTTGAAGGCCTCTTTTAAAGAATAAGTTGTTAATCGGAATGGAGTACATTCTTTAATGTTTCATTTCATTAAAGATTATTAATTCGATTAAATTCTATTTTAATGAAAAAGTTACTCACCCCTAACTTAGGCTCGTGCCTAAGATCAGGGCGTTAAAGTGGTAAGAGTTAGAGATGGATGGCTATGTCGGAACTCTTGTGCGCACACCTTGCCATTGGGAAAAAGCACCCACAGCCTCCATGGATGAGTTGCAACTTGCAAAGCCAATATATTCTCAGGCACAGGCACAGGGTGTGTTTCAAGTCAAACCGTCCTACCGTCCATATCCACATCTCACTTACAAATTTCGTCATCTTAAATTGTGTCTACCTTTGATTTTCGACCTCTCAAAACATTATGTGGACAGCCCCACATTATCAATGCCCATTTAATCAAATCCATATCCTCATTGTAATCTTTTGTTTAAAAATGGGACTTGACCCATAACATTGATTAGTTGCATCTAACATTATTGCATTTGTTTTCTTTTTTTTTTTTTTTCCATTTTTCTAGAAGGTATGTTGTCCAGAAAAAGAAAGTTGGGTTTTACTGTTACTACTTTAATTTGTGATAAAAATCTAAAAAGGTTAGACGTGGAGATTAGACCATGACTTTCTTTTAATATTTGGCTCCATTCCAAAGGAATAAAGAATCCATGTAAATCACATATTTCAAGTGACTTTTTTGATTATTGACTAGCACCAAGCTGTTCAACGTACATGCAGTGAAAAATTTGCTTTGAGCAGAAGGATATTGGAAGAAAATGGAAAAGTGGGAGCTCATATTCTCTTATCTTTTAGGGTTAGGTGTCTTTGCCAATGGAAGATATCAAATTGAATTTTTCTTGCTTCCCCTCCCTCCTAAAGAATAAATTGAATGGGATTTCTATCAGC